GGCTTGTCCATTTTTTTGGTGTCGGCTCGATTCGGGCCCATTGACCGATTCTTGGACCGAGCTCAAATAAAAAGACTGATATGAGCCGCTCAGTCCAATTGTCACCCTTAGTTAAATGATCACGTGACTCTTAAATGATATCAAATTTAAAGAGTAAAATTATTCAAAAAATTTCTTTATTCCAAAATAATCTAAAATGTGACTTAAAGTTTCATTTAAAATCCAAATTAAGTGAAATTTTTCGATGCTCATACAACTAATACCCTTACTTCACTCCATCCACAATGTTGTGTGTGTTACGTGGTTATAAGATGGAACATGAGTACCTTTTTTGTAAGTTGAGGAAAGGATTACGAACATATTATAAAAGATCGAGGAACCTGGAAGAAATTTGACCCATTTCTCAGCACGATTTTTATTTTTTTGGAAAAACAAGCTTTTAGGAGAGAAAACTAAGGAGGGAAAAAAACCCAATAAAGTAAGCATGTCGTCAAGAGAAATGCAGTGTAGAAATGTTTAAAATTTGGCTTTGGTTTTGATTACTGGCAATGAAGCCCAGAAATTCAACAGATGTGGTATAAATAGAGGTTGTCTTGTTCACCATTTCCAGGCACATCTGGAGGATCTGGCAGAGAAAGAGGCCTTTTTGAATTGTCATTATGAATTGTAATTGAGTAGGAGAAACAAGGATTCCATGTAAATGTGAATTGTGAATCTGTGATTGTGAATTGGGTGTACACCTTTTGACTAATGGGATATCAAAGTTTTGTTTCCTGCTGTTTTACATTTTCTGTGTTCTTTCCTGCTGCTACAAATCTAATGTAAAATGAGAACAATCACAAGTAAAATAAGAAGGCATTAGCATTTCAAATCCAATGTAAAATGCATGAATTGGAACCATCACATTACCATCATATTTCTTTCCACCAAATTTACAATTGTCAACAAACCAAGCTACCAGCAAAGGCTGTTTAATAATTTCATTAATGCATTACAAAAATAGCCTTAATGCATAACAAAAACAACCTTGATGCATTACAAAAAACAGCCTGAATGCATATACAAAAATTGGCACTTAATGCATATCCAAGAGACTTGACATTACAAAAAACATGACCTCTTAATGACAACCTAAAAACATCAAAAACAGCCACAACATTCCATTCAATCACGAATTGTTTGTCTATCTACGATGGGGGTTGGAATGAATTGCATTGGCTCTTCGTCGTTTAGGTTTTGGGTCAATCCATAACCTCTTAATAACACCATTTTACCCTGTAATCCAATAGATAAATGAAGTTAATAAATGTAGTTGTAATAAATAGCAAATGTAGTTAAGTAACTAAAAAATGAATTTGATGTTTACTCACATGTTCGTTAACTGAAACCATGCTATTTGAAGCANTACCCTGTAATCCAATAGATAAATGTAGTTAGTAAATGTAGTTGTAATAAATAAAGGTAGTTGAGTAACTAAAAAATGAATTGTATGTTTACTCACATGTTCGTTAACTGATACCATGCTATTTGAAGCAACTGGTTCTAATTCAACATCGTACCAATCCTGATCGGGGCACTATCGCTTGAGTGATATCTTTTATTATGCCCCTTCAATCTACATATCGAGCACGTCATTTGCACTTGCCATTTCTTTGTGACGTATGACTTTCCCTGACTGTGCACTACAATTTCTTCCGCCTATTTCCTTCTCTTTTTCTATTTCTTTCCCCGTTGAGGCGTAGTCCAATTAGGATGGATGATTGTAGGGACATCCACCTCAAGACACAACATTGTGCCGTTTATTGGATTCATTATATTATTATAACAACTCAAATACGTATCAATCGTGTAACAATTGTCAACATAATCCTCTGGTGCATTTCTACAATCTTGTATCACTGCGACGACATGCATACACTGTATACCTGTAAGCTCCCATTTTCAGCATGCAAAGGTATGTTCTGTGAGATCAACTACAAAAGTCCCATAACTGCAATCAACCTGCCATCTGGAACCCCCAGACAAGTGTAACGTGCATTCTCTTGACATCTCAGCGATCTTGTGCAACTTTTTCTTGATCCTTGGACACAAACGACCTTTACATCGTATCATCTTCTCTCGTCTCTGCTGTATTCGTTTCATGAAAGATATCTGCACCGATGTCAACAAATTTAGATTCATTTTCTCTCTATCGCCCAACAACATTTTGTTAAACACTTCGCATATGTTATTAAGCAGAATGTCGCACTTGGAGTGAACTAAAAAGTGTGACCGGCTCCACTCTTGAGGGTGTTTCTTCATCAGCCAAAGATATGCATCTTCACTAACGTCACGGATTTTTTGCATCCAAAGTTTGAATTCAGCAACAGTTGTTGACTTGGCGGCACGCCAAAGAAAATTCTTTAGTATTTTGCTCTTATGTCCAGTGCTAAAGAAGTTTATGTACATATGTCGTACACAGAAACGATGTTCTGCCTCTGGGAATAACTCCTCACATACATTTTGAAGACCTTTTTGCCTGTCAGTCATCAATGTCCAACCCCTCCCGTTGTTCATTTCAATGTCCTCTTAAAGGTATTTCATGAACCATCTCCAAGTGTCTGTATTCTCCTTCTCAACTATAGCATACGCCACAGGGTATATAC